TGGAAAAAAGATGCAATTTTACATATCCTTTTAAAGAATAAAGTAAGTTTAATTTTCTGTAATAAATCATTTTTTATAATGTTTATATTGATTTTATTATTCTCTTTATTTTTTTTTGTTTATAAATTGGAATAAAAGTTTTTACGTGCTTCACGTGAGAAATCATGGTTGTGCGATTTGACAAAGATTTTGTTCAACGCACACTTTGAACATTAAAAAATACATGTTACATAAGCGTTATTACAATAGCTGAACATTCACTATAAAAGTTTATTTTATAACAAATACAGAATTTAGTTTATATTTCTTTTTTAATAAAGTATACGAGTATATATTGTATTCTTTATAATGTTATTATGAATTCTTTTCTTTGTTAAATTAATATCGTGCAGTATTTATTAAACACTATGTTTTTCAGTATCAAAAAGATGAAGCTATATAACTTTCTGTATAATTTTATTATATAACTTATTAATCACGTTGATAATGATCTCTTACAAAATTATCGGAGTAGAAAAGCCGGAATATTATAAAAATTTAAAAGAAAAGTTAATTTGTCCGCTTAAAACTTTGTCACGTTCGATTACGAAGTCAAGTAATTTATAAGAACCTAATTTAAAGCTTGCGACAAACGGTGCGATTTTTCTCGCTGGATTGCTTGCAATTTAGTAAATTAATAGAAATTCTGTTTTATGGTACAAATTCTAGTAATTTATTAAATCCGCAAGCAATTCATCAAGAAAAATTGCTCCCTGCTGCAGACTTAAGATGCTTCTAAAAGTCTAAAGTGATTTCAAGAAAATTTCGAAACACAATCTTGATCAAGAAAAAATATTTTTAAAAACAATACCAGCGTGAACAAGTTGCGTAAAAAATCTTTCTAACAAATACGCTTTCGTATTAATATTCTTCAAGAAGATTCCGAAAATTAACACTAAACGATGCCTAGAAAAATGTTGAAGAAAGTTTCCTCTTAAGAAAGATAATAACGCTAGTTATTATAAATTTGCGCATTTCTGCGGAGAAAATTGCTCTTAAAACTTTTCATCGTTATCTCGATATAGGAACTTCTTGAATCTTATTTAAATCTTATAAAAGAAACTTCTTTTGAGCTTCGAAATCACCTCATATCGAATGTTAAAACTGAATTATGTGTAAAATTCTAACAATCTCTTCAGAAAGAGATTTGATTAATTTGACTTGATGCTCCGTTGTAAAGAGGAAATTCGCTATCAGCGATGGAGCAGTCGACAGGTGTTCTTAATGATTATCAAGATCATCGCGCTCAGTTCGTACTCAGCGACGTTCTATCACGGATGATAGACCTGTTCTAACATCTTTGTCGCGATAGACGTTCGATGGTCTTGGATCATTAGCGCCAATTGACGAGTCAAAACAGTCGATAGGTGACCTTGCGTAACCTACGAAGACACGTGTTTCTTGAAATTACAAACAGTTGTATGCTTTCGAACACAATCTGCGTTATTCTGACATCTCGCGAGTGCTAAATTGTAAACAGCGCGTCTTTCAGCACGGAGCTCGTAATTTCGTTTATATCGATTGAAACTCGATCACACTACAACATTGCAGACTTTCCGGCTATATTGCGGTTTTTCATCGTCGAAAAATTCGAGTACGTAAAAATAAAAAAAATTTTAAAAGATATAAGTGGTAACTGTGATGTGCGACAATTGTGTTGTGACGATCGCGGATTGTAACGCTGCGCAAATATTCGAAGAACAATAAAAAATGTGATATTGACTCTTTGAATAGGATTTATAATTGCAATCTAATTTCAATTAAATTATAATTATAATCTCTTACTTGGCAGCGAAGGTATAAACGTGAACCAGTTGTTCGTAGTGCGGGAACGAAAACGAGGAACGTTTATTTTGTCAAATAAACGTATCCACACTTTTATCAGCACGAATCCTTTCTATGCTGCCTTGGAATTTAGTTAGAAAAGCTAAGGATGCATAAATGACTCTTATCCCATCTGCTTCGTGTTAGTTTTCCTTTATTGTCTCACAAAAATTCTGCAAGAAGATTATATCGTCGCAAGTGAGTGACCCATTAACAATCAACAGAAGAACATTTATCGAGGTGCCTGACGCGTTTCTTTGTTTGCGTGTGCGATACCGAATGATATCAGAATGTGCATACGCGTGAAGGTATTGTCATGATGAACCGAACTAGCGTGTGACATCCTCACGAAGATTCCGAGCATGGGGACGTCAAGCCAGGACGGGGACATCGAAAACGACACGCTCGATTTCTGGCGGGACTGGGATCTAAGTGAGTTGACCGAGGATGAGTACCTAAGCAAGGTGCTGGGACCCAAGTATCTGACCCTCAAACTAGTAATACCGCTCACGATCACGTACGTGGTGATCTTCATCACCGGAATTTTCGGCAATGTCGCCACGTGCACGGTCATCGTCCGAAACTCATCCATGCAGACCGCCACCAACTACTACCTCTTTAGTCTAGCCATATCCGACCTCACTCTACTTTTATTAGGTGAGCGAATGAAACAAACTAAAATATTACTTCTCGATGTTACTTTTTTATGCTTCGAGCGTTTTTTTTTTATAGACAAACATTTCTCACATTTAGGTGTTAATTGCTTTTTCTTTTGTACTTTCCTCTCACGTTCACTTACTCTCATCGGTGAGAATGTAAACAGAAAATTTTTGTTAAATTTAACACATTTCAAACGATCCATTCAAATTTTTATGTTAATTTAATATAAGATGAATATATTAGAAAGTAATTAACACAATCTGTAAGTTAACTGTGGAAATAGATTTTTTTCAGTAAAATTAACATTTTCATAATATTATTAAATTAACCTATTAACCTATTCATTCATCTTAAAATTTATGTTTTAAAATTAGAACACATTTTTATGTTATTTGCTCACTTATTCATAAATTGTATTATTTTGACACTAAGAAATGTTGAATATCAAGTCAAAAACAAACTATTTAAATAATGTACTCACATTATGTTATAAATTCAACCCAAAATTTTAATAAGGATTTGAGTCGATCGATTTTAATATTTTCAACATAATACAAAATTAAATGCAAAATTTACAAATATAAAGTTTTTTACTGTGTAAAGAGAAGTCACGTCATTTCAATTAGGATGATTTCTTAGATCCAATGATTACACAGTAAGAAACAGACCTAACTTGACAGGTTAATACTCGTTGCAGAATCTATTTTTAAATAGCTTGGACTCTAACAAAATGCAAGGTGCTCGCAGACGATTTTAATAAAAGAATCCTATAATGTAGTTCCTATAATGTAAAATGAAAGAAATAAGAATATAAGTTAGACTGAATACTACATGCTTACTGCATATTTAAATAAAATATGAGTCTTACGTACGTCTGCCTAAACGAAATCTCTGCCTTGGCTTTCTTTCCTTTTTATTATTCTCGAAAATAGCAGAAAATATAAAATATAAATGTAAAAAACGAGATATCAGGATCTAAACTATTTCGCGCTCTCCACATTCTTGATTCACGTTTCTTTATCTCTCGTAATGCGTAGAATTTTATATTTGTAACATGAATTATAATTATTTGCAAGCTGAAAATTTGTCTCCCTTATCACTCTCGTTTGAATCGGGATTGATATAAAGCAACGTTGACGACTGAATCGCCTCTGGCTGGTAAATCAACGATTCGTTAACTGCCGATGGCTCTTCGCTCGTTGATATTGCAATTTTGATAATTGATAAAGCAATTGATAACGATAGTCGGCTCGCTTAAACCGTTCTCATTTGGGTAACATGGAATAATAGATATGTTGCGGTGTCGATTTAGTCGAGAATCTGTTTGCAATATGTATAAATTCCATCGGGTCATTTCCAATATCGGACTGAGTAAGATTAAAAAAATCTGAATAATGAATGAGGTCAAATTCTCGTCGAAGGAACAAAATTGGTTTGGATTTAAAAACCAAAAGGAGCGGTAGAACGAAGCTAATCCCTTTGACATGGTGACAAATTAAATTCTTAGCGTATCTAGCGCATTTCTTCACGCTTCTTTTCTAACAAGTTATTTTTTACGTAATTTTTTAACAAATAATATCGATCAATGAAAAATATTGTAATTGTGAAACTGTAAGGGGTTCAAAAATATTATTCGCACATTTTTATCACATTTAAAAAATAAACAATAAGAAATATTAGATAAATACAAACATCCTTTTTATTGAAAGTTTGAAGAATATATTATTCATCACGTTTACAATAGAAACGAAATATTAAATACAGGCATTCCCTTTATTGAGGTATTTATAAAATACCACAAAGAGAGAGAGAGAGAGAGAGAGAGAGAGAGAGAGAGAGAGAGAGAGATTGTAACTGAAAATGTTCAAAGATGTAATTAAAATTATTTTCATTAATACTGTCGCTATATTCAGTCGCTAATATATTTTGTATTTAAGTAATTTGTAGCTTTGATTAAATTTAATCAAAGCTAAATTTAAATCAGTACATATCATTACTAACGCTTGACAACACGAGCATTTCAAAAAGCGACACGATCTTTCATCGGATAAATAAAATCAGTTATTGTACGTTATCTGTATTATCGCGATCACATATACTTTTAATACTCTCCTGCTTTCCTAGCATTGACGCACGTAGATAAAAGCATGAAATTAATCTCCGTTTTATATGTACAATTGCGATTGTTATCTGCACAGTGGTTTGTTTGCCGATGGTAACAATGGCATTCGTATTTACGTCATTGCGAAGAATTCGCGAGACTGAAGACTTGGACATGATAACAATTCTACATGAAAAGTCTGATAGGCTATTTAAACAAAATACGAGTCTTATACGTAGATACAGTTTTTACCTAAGCGAAATCTCTTCTTTGGTCTGAAAAATTTTGTTTCCTTTAATAAATTCATCTAGACATCTAGACCATTATATGAATGAATTAAATAATTAAGGAAAAAGATCCATAAACAGTATAAAGAATTGAAAAAACGTATATTAGAAAATGTATATAAAAATTTTATTAGATAAGACTACTCTACTCCCTACTCTTTAGAAACCTTAATTGTTTGATTTTTCTTTTCCCTTTATCCATTCTCAAAAATAGCAAAAGATACAAAATATATAAATGTAAGAACATCGGAGTTTAAGCTGTTTCGTGTTTCATGTAATTCTACATTCTTTATTATTCTCTTCGTTATTTTCAACTAGCTATTTTAATATGCATTAATGCAAGGAAGTCAATGCCCGTACAATAAATTGTATATATATATATATATATACATATCAATAATAATATCAATAATATATATATATCAATAAATGAAATAGTTTGAATAGTATTTGAATAATATCTGAGCAGAGCATTTAATAAACTAAATAAGAATATTAAATAAAGGTTCAAATTTCTTATATTGAAGCAAATAGAAAAATATAATTTATATGTGTATGTGAATGTCGTAAATAAATTAAAATTAGCGTGTTCGCCAAATTAAAAATATAAATTTTTTATATAGAAAAAAATATCGTGAAAAATTAGCAACATGTGCAAACTATTCATACCGATCGGAATTGAGAGAGAATCGCGCCACTTACGAAGGATTTAATTATTATATAAATTAGTTATCTGATTTATATAATTATAAATTAGTTCTGATATGAGAGAGATCAAGAGGAACAAAAAACAAAGAGAAACTGAAACAATCGTATCCGTAGCGCTGACGAGTAAAACAGCAGTTTTGTAATGCAATAAAAGGCTTCATCAGATGACGAATGTGTTGTATAACACAAGCGCCGCTTTAAAAAAATGTTAGGCACAATAGCAACGACCGAAAGGCTTCCACTTGAGAAGGCTATACTATTCATGGTACTTTTCAACTTCCAGTAGGAATCAGACCTTATGAAGGTTCCGGCTCCTACTGTGAAGCTTTATAAAAAAAAACGAGGGTGAATGACTATATATTGGATGACTACCGGATAGTTTTTATGCTTTGGGAGAGGATTGATCGGCATATCACGACAAATCTGAGAAAATATACTTTTAACGTGGCATACGCAAGGAGGAATATCCCTTAAGTTTGATAGAAAGAACAATTAAATTATGAAAATTAATTTAAGGTGAAAAGTTAAACGTTCATTGCCCAATTTGTGGCACTCGTTCGTAAGAAATTCTGCGAAGAATAAAACATCTCTTATCGAGTATATATAGATATATATTTATATTAGTCTCACACACACACACATACACACACATACACACACACACACACACACCTGCGCGCGCTCAGAAAATTGTATTGTATTTAATAATATATGTTATATACATAATATATACATATATATATTTAATATACTTATACTATTTTAATACATTTTGTATGAAAATAAATTTTTTCCCTCTTGAGAAATTCTGGGTACACTCATAACTTTTAATAATATTGTGCTTATTTTTTAATTTATTTCTGTAAGAGATGTATTAAATATATAAATATTTCTGACATTTTCATTTCAGATCTTCATTTTTGTTAAATTATTGTTAAAAGAACCATCTTAAAACCACGTGCTAACAAAAAATTAATGAAGGAAGAAAGAAAGAAAGAAAGTAAGCGAAAAGTTAGTACAAAAGCAGTAAAAGAAAACAGATCCATAATGGACAGACAGTAAAATAAAAAGATATTAGATTGCGCTGAAAGACACAAAGATTCGTTGTATAAACGCTTCACGTAATATTATAATTCATTAATTAAAACAAGAATATTGAATAGTGCTTGAATAGAGTTTATTCGACTTACAATGATGCGGCGAATGTTCAGTTTATTTCTATGCCGAAGGTATATAATGAATGAAAATTATTTTAATTTGCACAGGGAAGGCGCGCGCGCAATCTCGTTAATATTGTCATGATACGGTGATGCTTTCGCGCTAATTACCAGCCGAGCTTAAGTCGTAAATCTGTTTTTCGGAAAATTAATTTACACCCTTATGAAGGAAGGAGAGAAGAAGGAAGCTAGACAAGTGTTTATCCGAGAACATGTCGTACGAAACTTTAATGCTGATGTAAACCCTGTATGCTCCTACTAAGCTTTACGATTTTTTCTAATTTTTTGCTGAGTCCGAAGTTGAAGATTAGCAGTGACATTCAAAAGAAGAAACATTTCTGAATGTTAATGAAAATATGAAAAACATATTCAAATATTTATATAGATGCAGTGTAAAGATTTAAAAAAAGTAGCGTTCCACGCATGCTAGGTACATATATATTCAATATGACCTAAGTATGTTTCCCTCTTTTTTGCAAAAATGTTAGAAAAATGGGAAATAAAAATGGGAAGTAATCCATGTATATAATATTATTTTTATACGAGTAAGATCATAAGCTTATTAATATATTGATATATGTTTATTGACAGATAAGAATGCACAAAGAAGTATTACAAAAATACTATTTTTTCCAGACAATGGACTTACCTACTTATTTACACAACACACACACACACACATTTATCTATTAATTTATTTATTTTAGCAAGTAAATTAGAATTTATAATATAGAATAACAAAAAAAAAATAATCGATGCGTATATACATTCAGCATATTTAGGTACGCCTAAATTAGCCAGTTCTCTCTCTCTCTCTCTCACATCTATTCTCTTTAATTATAAACAGAGCATTGTGATAAAAATATTAACTAAATATATAAAGTTGTGAAATATGAATACACACAGATCTACAATAACATATTAAAATTAATAATCATCTTTTGGTAGTTATAGAAAGCAATTATTTACGAAATATTACATCACGACATTTTGCATTTTGCTTTACTGACGATAACAAAATGAACAAATTGACCGATAAATTGATGCAATCTAGTCAGACAGATAATCTGCACGAGCTACTACTGCTATCTATGGAATTAATCACGTAATTACAAACGAACAGGGCATTTTGAGTACGCACCCATATTGGATCGATTACCTTACATTAAAGTAATTGAAAATGTGAAAAGAATAAGAGATTAAAACAGAAGGAGAACCGTGTCTCAAATTTTGTGAGAAAGAAGAGCTAAACTTTAAAAAGTGATAACATTTTTATAATTTTCTTGCCCATTACGGAAAATATATTTAACTCTCCGTCTGCAATTATACTATATTTTTATTCTCTTTGTCCAGTTCAAGATTTTTGTTACTATTCTAAGAGCTTTCAGAAAATGTGAAAAAATTCAGGATTACTTTTCAATATTTCTATATTATAGCACCAAATGGTTAGTAGTCTCTGTTATAGATCCAAAGTTTTTAACTAAATACTACAAGTTTTTAACAAGATGTTTTAGAAAGATGAATCAGTCTGCGTCCTCCTGTTAAACAAACTTGAATCATAGTTGAATGAAAATATTACTGCTAGAATTGTACCAAAAAAGACTCAAATTATACAGATGAAGAGTTAATTAAATATATTATATATTTGCATAAATTTAATCATTCTTATATTCTTCCAATGAGTAGTTTTAAAATACATTACAGGATGCTCCAAATTAATCGTATTTTCTATTTACTTTTTCTTTTACGTTTTACAGAACCTTTTCAATTTGCCTCACAGAAAATTTAATGAAGTATACTCTTTAAACTCTTTTCCAAAGAACACACCGACTCAAGAAAAAGTCAAAATGATGATTTATTTATGAGAGACGTCATAAAAGTTAAAATAATTTTTTTAATACAAAATTTAACTGTTTATTGATGTTAAAAATCAAAATAAATTATTTTGATTTTTTGTTGACTTTTGTATGTTCTTTGAATTAGAGTGGAATCTCGATTTAACTCAAGATCTCGTTCTAAAGAGTGGAAATTGAGCCAATCTTGAAAAAGAGTGACTTAATTGTTTTTTTAACAGTTTTTTTAAAGATTTCACTCTTCAGAGTAAAAAATTTTAGAGAGTTAAAATAATTAATTAATCAATATTCCTAACGTTAATTAATTATTCTAGGTCTCCCTAATGAACTAAGTGTGTTCTGGCAGCAGTATCCGTGGGTCCTTGGCACAGGATTATGTAAAATCCGGGCATATGTGTCAGAAATGTAAGAAATATCTCTGATTCTTTGTATCCCACGAAGAAATTTGACACTCTTCTAAATCTGGGCATCAATTTTCACAGGTCATCCTACGTATCGGTTCTCACAATTGTGGCTTTCTCTATGGAAAGGTATTTGGCCATCTGTCATCCATTGCACCTCTATTCGATGAGTGGTCTCAAAAGACCGACACGTTTTATCCTTGCAGTCTGGTCGATTGCAATTGTTTCGGCCATACCGTTTGCAATTTATACCAAGGTCAATTTCGTCGAATATCCGCCAGGTTAAGCCGACACATTAATTCCTTGCGATTATCGTAAATCAATATCCGATAATTAATTTATTCAAATCTTCCGTAATCTCAAGTCTTAAACTTTTATTAAAAGCTTGTCATTACATTGACCGTTCAATTTCTTTTTCAAAATTTTCTTTTATATGCAACAAATGCGAAATATTTAAAATTTAATTCCAAATGTACTCAAAATCTAATTATTTGAGCTACAGTTTCAGTACACAAATTTATTTAAAATAACTGTCTTTTAACCTACGTTAAAATATCAAGTATTTTTTTCAGGATCAGGAAATTATTCAGCTGATTCAGCGATTTGCGCGATGCTTCTGCCTGACATGCCTAAATTCCCCCTTTATGAGCTCAGTTGCATCGTATTCTTTTTGATACCGATGCTCATAATTCTTGTAGTATATGCGAGAATGGGATTGAAAATTAAAAGGAGTACCACGGAAGTACTTGGCCCGATACAAGCCTCCGTTCATGGCGATCATCGACAGATTCAATCCAGAAAGTCTGTCATCAGGATGTTAAGTATGATAATCATGATCTTTAGTTTCTTTAATCATAATCATGGTTTGTAATCATGGTAATTTATTTTCTTCTCTAATAATTTAATTGTAGTGATAATTGAAAAATTGCCGAGTACTGAATAATAAATCTAATCACAATAATCGTACTGTAATTCTTGTTGGCGGTGATCCATTATACTTTTTTTGTTTCTTATTTTCGATATTAACAATCTTAGTAAAAATTGAGCAATCAATGTTTGCTAGCATTTCTGCGACCATGATGCTTTGTCCATCAATTAAAAACAACGTAGACGTAATATTCTGATCACTTCGTTTTTCGCCTTTTTACATATGTGATTATAAATGTTTTTGTAATATAATTTAAATTCTAATTGCGTTTTGTCAATTCATTTTGCGACTGCAATGAAGACATAATAATGTTGAAACTAGTTTTGTTTGGAATTCTTATGTAATATCTAATTTATGAAATATATTTTATTACTTTCATCACCTTAATTGTATTCTTAGTTTGTTTTTAGTCGTTTATATCTCTCTAGCATTTATTACTTAACAATCTTAATAATTAAAATCTTAATAATTAAACTTCAAGTTTTAAAATTCCAGACGTGATTTCTTTCAGGTGCGGTTGTTATCATGTTTTTCCTTTGCTGGGCCCCGTTTCACGCCCAGCGTTTGCTTTACATCTACGCACAGGATTCCGATTATTATCCAGATTTAAACGAATGGCTTTACATTTTGAGCGGCTGTCTATATTACTTCAGCACTACCGTTAATCCGATTCTTTATAATTTGATGAGCATCAAATACCGCCATGCATTCAAACGAACAATAGGCTGCAGAACGAGAAAATCGGCGAACAAAATTTTGAAGGTTAAGAAATCTCATCCGCACAGATGCGATTCTTTGAACGAACCTCATGATCGAAATATATGCTCTGTTAGGTACGAAAGTATAAAATTTTTATACCAGTAAATTTTTATAAATGTAATTTTAATATTAGATATATAATAATTTTATATTCTATAAAACATGTTTGTCGAAACGTAATCCTTTTTTTAAATCAAATCCTATATATTACACTACAGTAATTTTATATTTTTTCTTTAGGCATACGATTGTTCAAGTCAAAAACATATTTTGTTTTACGTCGAGTCGACAAGAAAATATCAAGGATAGTAGCAGAAATAATGGAAATGCAAGCAATTTTCCTCAAAATGCTTACTCGTTACAAAAGGAGGATTCATCCTCGACGTTTCTCTTTGAACGAGGGCATCTCCTCGCTCATCAGCAGCCTAGCATCGAAAGCACAACGTCTACGAAAAGATCGGAAGAGAGTGTTTCCGTATAAGCTAAAAGCAATCTGTGATCTATTTTCATTCGTTTTTATTTAGATATACAGTTATAATGCGCGTCGCTGTAAATAAAACTAGACATATCCGAATGATTGATTATAAGTGCGTCTGAAAGGTTTTACCATATTGTAAATAAGTAGATAGATAGTCTGAATTATTTTTTATTGATTATAATAACGCGCCAAAATTTATTTTATATTATTTATTTCAGAATAAATTTTACATATTATATCTGTATGTTTATTTTATACGTTCGTGAATTTATACAGTTTTAGAAGGCAAAAGTTGAAATTCTGACACGAGAATAATACTTTTACACACAAAATGCTGATATTTTCCATACGAATCATGAAATATGCTTTACGTCAGCAAGCTGTACTTTAATAAAGTTAAATTTGCAGTAATAAATCGTTCAAGTGAGTTTTTAATAAAAATCCTTCCTGTAGCTTTAGCTCATTTCAGCCGCGGTATTATCAGCTTCTAATCAGTTATCAATTTATAATATACATTTTTTTGCGCAAATGAAACGTTATATGTAACAATTATTATCTTTCGATATAAAATAATATTTCCTTATATATATATATATATATAACTTTTATATATGTTTTTCAATTTACAATATTTTGTTTTACCTATAAATTGTTCAAGTTTTACATAGCAGATAAATGTACTCGAGTATTGACAATAATTTTCCTGCACTGTATTCAAGTAACATAGCCCACGCATTTGTTTCAATTTAAATGAGATGCGTATTATATGCGTAATATACACTCTTCTTTGCTTCTCGATACCAATAAGAACCAAGAGAATATCGTATAATTATTTACACGTCTGTAGCTTTAAAGTCGTGCAGACGAGAAGACATAAACGATGACTTTTTGCTAAATAAAGCAACTTAAGAAACTGAGAAACCGGTATAATCTGTACATTTATTTTATACATTTACGTCAAAAGACAATTTCCGTCTCAAAAGTAATTCATGCAAAAATTCTTAAAAAGATCGTTCGCTGAATTAAATTCCAATTTACTTGATATTTTCGCTTAATATTTTTCATTGAATTTAATTTAAGTAGGTTCGTTAGAATTAACTTTATTTAGAACTTATTTCGTTTGTTTAAGGAGATCCTAAAGCCGTCTGTATATATTGTAGTTTTTATATAACAATTACTTTTTTTCTCTTCTACTGATTTGAAAATCCTTTTCCAGGACTAAAGTATATGCATTAATACGTGTCTGTGAAATGGAGTCGAGAGCGACAAAAAATTTATCTTAAGATTTCAATTTCGAATTTTTTTGTTGTCCTCAGCTTATAAACATTATGATTTAGTCGATGATACGGCTTTAGAAAAAAAAATCTACTTAATATCTATACTGAATAAACAAAATAAGTTTTAAATAATTCGATAATACATAAAATAGATCATAAAATAGGTCATAAAATAATTCGATAATGCATAAAATAGGTTAAAAGTTCTTTTAAGATTAAAATTAGATTCGATGCTAAGAAAAATATGTAAACGTCACACTTATAAAGTATATACAGTGAGAGCAAAAAGTATCCGTACAAGGAATTTTTTTTACAAAAAGGGGCTTATTTGTAAAAAATAAACATTAATTAACAATTTTATACAATAAATATATTCTGTTCTAACATAAACAAACGAGCTTCGCATATATTCCTAATTTTAGAAGCTAAATTTCTCGACATATGAATACTTTTTGAGCATCTAAACAATAGAATTTTTAATTTTCGCTTATTTTTCAGATGATATATTTTTTATAATCAATACACATTTTTTTGGTATATATAATTTTAAGAAATCTACAGTAGTCTATTTTATTCTTTATAAATAAATTGTTAATTACCCAGCAAGATCATCAATTAAACATCGAATCGACATCGTACTGGTGTTGAAATCATCATATCGATATCAATTCAACATCAATTCGATGACTCATTTCTCGCTGGATAATATGTACTTTTTAAAAATAAAGTTTTTTTTTTTTTAATATTTTCTCTATATACTTTTTGCACTCACGTTAGTATATTTTAGCCTATCATTAAAAAATGTACGTTTATTTTTGTTACCGCGCACTGAGTTGTTATCTATACTGAATAGATTAATTTCTACTTTGAAGTCGGAAGAGTTAAATCGATCGATTTTCTGCACTTAGCCAAACCTTCAATACACCTTTAATGAATCTCCGTTTACTACAATCATCGGCTATATTTTAAACCATTAATTATTGATGTATAAACCGTAGAGAAGTCTGGTTCTGTTTCAAGTAACAAACCACTAACGCGTTAATTATAAATAAATTAATAAAATTAAAGAACTCTTAATATTATATAATAATATAAGAAAGTGAAGAGCATGAAAAATTCAATTTTAAAAACAACATATGAAGAACAAAAAGTTTAATACATTACAGTTCATAAATTAAATATAAGTTATAAATTCAGTAATATTACATTTCAGCTTCTTGATTGAACCGTTTTTATTCAAATAAAAAAAGTAATAATACTTAGATGAATCAACAATAACGCAGAAAAAAAACATAAAATATATGAGTTAGATAAGGTCCGATGAATAATATGTAGAGAGACAGAAATTACTCGTAAACGGTTGTTGGAAATTTCCGGATGTTAGAAATGGCCATACAATTATTCTTCGCACCGTATGGTCATTTGGAATATCCGGAAATTTCCAACAATCGGTCTTCCAACCGCTTGCGAGCAATTTCTGTCTCTTTACATATTATTCATCGAGCCTTATCTAACTCATACACTTCACGTTTCTTCTCTGCGTTATTTTGTATTCATCTAAATATTGTTACTGCATCTATTTGAATATCTATATGAAGATAACTCAATCAAGAAGTCAAAACATATAATATTACTGAATTTATAGCTTATATTTAATTTATGAACAGTAATGTATTAAACGTTTTGTTTTTCAAGTTAAATTTTTAAAATTGATTCTTACATACCCTTCACTTTCTTTATATTATTAATTATAAATAAGGTATACACGTGGCAATATAATTTTGACCAATATTAAATTGCCTATATTATATACTTTATCAAAAACTTTATGGGATGTAGAATCTTTTTAAACTATCAATTTTAAATATTCAACAATTCTTTAATTTCAAATATGCAGTTAATTTTAATTTTAAATATAGACAAGAAATCTTAAATTAAATTTTTGCAACATTAAAACTCTTATAACATCACTTTTGTCAGTGTTTCCATAGCTGTTGGAAAAGACACGCACACGCGCGCGCACACACGCAGGCACGCACGCACGCACACATATACGCTAGAGTTGTCTTATTAAATTTCGTGAAGAAACGCTAAAGTATCTACGCTAAGTAAGTTTTTAGCATTAGCGTGCCAAGAATTTTCTTACATCATGAAAGTTAAAACAATTTAAACGGTGCGGTTATTTATGTTTTAATATAAGATAAAATAAATTAATAAGTTATACAGTATACTGTATAAGAATACGAAATATTTTCATATTAAATTACGAAAGTTTGAAAGAAGATGTATCAAATCTGAGAAAAGAATTTCTCAACAAAGGGCGAAGCACGCGTTGTGATCTTACATTACTTTTCTCATACTAAATATTTATTATAGTAAATATTTTATAACATCTTCGTATTCTAATGTATCTTCGGTGTTTTTTCACGAAATGTAATAAAACAACTTCCATGTGTCCTTTTCTAGGAGCTGGAAAAAGTTATAAGTATTTTAATTTTGTAAAAGTTTAATTAAAAATTTCTTGCGTATATTTCTTTAAGAAAATTAAAATAAAGACTAAAAAAATTGTTATAAACATATCTTAAAATTCGCTTCTAAAAATGCTGTGCTAAAAGAAAAAATTCGCAGAAAATTTACGTTTTTTATTCCAAGCAAATTTCTCGAATGCGCGGCTACAAGATTTAATTTTCATTGAGTTATTAAACAGTATGATAATAAAAATGTCAAATTATGTATAAAATTGTTTACATTACAATTGCCATTGTGAAATGATTCAACTGCAGGATTCACACCAGCAAGCCAAAATGAAGACTTATCTTTTCCGCGATGCTTCCATTCACTACAGCTAACATTCAAATACAAATAAGTGTCTATAAATTCACAAAGAAAGCTTTACCAAATTGGCAAAATTGCAAAAGTGCTATTAGATACTACCACCGGAGAACACGCTAACATTTCGTAAACGTTGATCAATAAAGATTTATTCTGAATCGTGTTGGCTGGAAGTTCGACTGGAATAGTTACAAACAAGCTTCGTATGTTTGTACGTTTGGAACTTTCACTGAACTTAGCATATTACGCAAATTCGACTAAATGCAAACTTAAATTAACTTGTTATGAACTATTTTACATGGATTAAGAAATTTGAAGGTTTTACTATGAAAATTTAAAAGTGCCTCGGAAATAATAAAGAGCATAACAAGCGCTGTTAATACAACATTTACGTATTTGCATATTTTGATAGAAACCTCAAAGTTAATTTATTCTATACGATTATCGGATGATTGGATTGTTTCCCAAATAGGATTGTCACATAAATTTGATGTAGTGTTGAAAACGGCAATTCCCTCAAATATTTCAGATATTTCGAGAAAATCTTATTTAAAAGATTAATTTGAGAAAATCTTTCATCTACGTATTTCTCCGTCCCGAAAATACAAGCAATAAATTCGCGGATATTCAAAGAAATAAGTTTTAAACGTATTCTAAAGAAATCCGTGATTTCTTTAGTGAAAAAATTAATCTTTCTCTTATTTTAAGAAGATATTTTTTGTTAATTATTTCTGCATTTTATATCTCGTATAAAACCATTATTAACTTCTTTCTTATAATTAACAAATAGAGAGAGAGAGAGAGAGAGAGAGAAACTAAAAAAAAATTAAAAACATTTTTTAAAGAACTATTTTGAATTCTAAGTTTATTTATCAAATTTGTGACAATTGTCTTTTGACAAATTCTATAAAGTTCTTTATATATTTGCAAAAAAACCGATTATAGTAGGATGGTGTGTTCTTGAAGTAAATTTATTTTAACTTTATCATAAATTACCATAATCGCATTATAATCGCAAATATAATTATGGAATTAGCTAAACAAAACATAATTTCTCAAAAATATATTAGTAATAATAAGAATAATTCAATATAAATCATAAACATAAAATTGCACATATTAAAACAAAATTAAATAAATTTAAATAAAATTTTTAAAAAATCTATATACGCGTTGTATTCTATTAAAATTTTTATCCTCGAACAGATATTTAAAAACGTTTTTTTCATAATTTTCGTAGCAGTTGTTTTTTTGTTTCGTAGTACGCGTGACAGATTTCAGATTATTACAATGTTTATACAACGCGATAAATTTTTCTCGTGCAAAAATGTAACCTATGTTTCCAACATTCGTGATAAATGTCTTCTAAACCACAGTTTTTCGATTGCGCGTGCCAAAATGTTGCGCGAATAATCTCGGCCGGTGCGGTGAAATGATAAATTTGATTCTCTTCTGCCTGAAAGAACTGATTCTTCTTATAGCGCAATTCCTTGAGACGATCATAAAATGCGTACTGCCGATGCTAATCACGCAATTAACGGGACCAAGATATTTACGATGGGTAAAGCCTCGATGATTTATTGCGAAATAAGACTGACCTATTTGATCGATCCCGCCTTTTCCTTACAGGCGCGAAATGTTCTATAGTCTCGCTATCCTATTTTGTGCAAAAACCTCTATGTGCATGGCATGAATGTGAAGGACAAAAATGAAGAAACGTTAACTCGACGCTTTCATTATCATTATTGCGGTAAGCATTAATTGTATGGAAAAAGAAG